CATGTGCCAGAATATAAGGCCTGCATCTGTAACTTTCACTCTATGCATCAGAAGGAGAGAGGATTTCGTAAATGAACACTCCAATGATTGGGACCTAGTGTTGCAGCAGTTGCTTTTCGCCTACAGGGCTGTACCACATCCCAGTTTACGGTTTTCACCATTTGAACTTGTGTATGGCCGCGAGGTTAAGGGGCCATTACAGTTGGTGAAGCAGCAATGGGAGGGGTTTACGCCTTTTCCAGGAACTAACATTCTAGACTTTGTAAGCAACCTACAAAGCACCCTCCGACACTCTTTAGCCCTTGCTAAAGAAAACCTCAATGATGCTCAGGAAGAGCAAAAGGCCTGGTATGATAAACATTCCAGAGAACGGTCCTTCAAAGTAGGAGACCAAGTCATGGTCTTAAAGGCGCTCCAGGCCCATAAAATGGAAGCGTCGTGGGAAGGACCATTCACGGTCCAGGAGCGCCTAGGAGCTGTTAACTATCTCATAGCCTCCCCCACCTCAAACATAAAGCCTAAGGTATACCATGTTAATTCTCTTAAGCCCTTTTATTCCAGAGAATTAAACATTTGCCAGTTTACAGCCCAGGAAACAGATGACGCGGAGTGGCCTGAAGGTGTCTACTACGAAGGAAAAAGGAATGGTGGCGTGGAAGAGGTGAACCTCTCCACGACCCTTGGACGTCTGCAGCGACAGCAGATCAAGGAGCTGTGCACAAGCTTTGCGCCAATTTTCTCAGCCACTCCAGGACGGACCGAACGGGCATACCACTCCATTGACACAGGTAATGCTCACCCAATTAGAACCCCACCCTACCGGGAGTCACCTCATGCCCGAACTGCTATACAAAGGGAGATCCAGGACATGCTACAGATGGGTATAATCCGCCCCTCTAACAGTGCATGGGCATCTCCAGTGGTTCTAGGTCCCAAACCAGATGGGGAAATACGTTTTTGCGTGGACTACCGTAAGCTAAATGCTGTAACTCGTCCTGACAACTATCCAATGCCACGCACAGATGAGCTATTGGAGAAACTGGGACATGCCCAATTCATCTCTACTTTAGACTTAACCAAGGGGTACTGGCAAGTACCCCTAGATGAACCCGCTAAGGAAAGGTCAGCCTTCGTCACCCAGGCAGGGGTGTATGAATTCAATGTACTCCGTTTTGGGTTGCGAAATGCACCCGCCACCTTCCAAAGACTTGTAGATGGTCTCCTAGAGGGATTGGGAGAATCTGCAGTTGCCTACCTCGATGATGTGGCCATTTTTTCTGATTCATGGACAGAACACCTGGAGCACCTGGAAAAAGTCTTCGAGCGCATCCGGCAGGCAGGACTAACTGTTAAGGCTAAAAAGTGTCAAATAGGCCAAAACAGAGTGACTTACCTGGGGCACCAGGTGGGTCGAGGAACTATAAATCCCCTACAGGCCAAAGTGGATGCTATCCAAAAGTGGCCGGTTCCAAAGTCTAAGAAACAGGTCCAATCCTTCTTAGGCTTGGCTGGATATTATAGGCGATTTGTACCCCACTACAGCCAAATCGCCTCCCTGCTGACAGACCTAACCAGAAAGAAACAGCCAAATGCAGTTCAGTGGACTGATGAGTGTCAAAAGGCCTTTAACCAGCTTAAGGCAACACTCATGTCTGACCCTGTGCTAAGGGCCCCAGACTTTGACAAACCGTTCCTAGTAACCACAGATGCGTCCGAGCGAGGCGTGGGAGCAGTTTTAATGCAGGAAGGACCGGATCAAGAATTCCATCCTGTCGTATTTCTCAGTAAAAACTGTCTAAAAGGAAAAGCCATTGGTCAATCAGCGAAAAGGAATGCTACCCCGTTGTGTACGCGCTGGAAAAACTACGACCATATGTTTGGGGATGGCGTTTCCAACTACAAACAGACCATGCTGCACTACAGTGGCTTCATACCGCCAAGGGAAATAACAAAAACCTTCTTCGGTGGAGTTTAGCTCTCCAAGATTTTGATTTTGAAATACAACACATTTCGAGAGCTTCTAACAAAGTGGTTGATGCACTCTTCCGGGAGAGTTTCCCAGAGTTAACTGGTTAACAATTGTTCTTGGAATGAAACATATTGTTAGTTTTTATATAATCAGTAGTATGTCTAAAGGTACATGTGTCTTATTAACTCTGTTTTCTCCTAGAACTCCAGGAAGAAATCACAGCCAGTGTAGAACCGAATATCCAACACTATCTGTGATTTGGGGGGCGTGTCATAACTATAAAGGGAAGGGTAACAGCTGTCCTGTGTACAGTACTATAAAATCCCTCCTGGCCAGAGACTCCAAAATCCTTTTCCCTGTAAAGGGTTAAGAAGCTCAGGTACCTGGCTGGCATCTGACCCAAAGGACCAATAAGGGGACAAGATACTTTTAAATCTTGGGGGGGGAGGCTTTTGTTTGTGCTCTTTGTTTGGGAGTTTGTTCGCTCTTGGGACTGAGAGGGACCAGGCCTCAATCCAGGTTCTCCACATCTTTCTAAACAAGTCTCTCCTATTTCAAACTTGTAAGTAAATTGCCAGGCAAGGTGTCTTAGTTTTACTTTGTTTTCTCAACTTGTAAATGTACCTTTTACTAGAGTGTTTATCTTTGTTTGCTGTACTTTGAACCTAAGACTAGAGGGGAGTCCTCTGAGGTCTTTAAGTTTGATTACCCTGTAAAGTTATGTGCCATACTGATTTTACAGAGATGATTTTTACCTTTTTCTTTAATTAAAAGCCTTCTTTTTAAGAATCTGATTGATTTTTCCTTGTTTTTAAATCCAAGGGGGTTGGATCTTGATCCACCAGGAGTTGGTGGGAGAAAGAAGGGGGGATGGTTAATTTTTCCTTGTTTTAAGATCCAAGGGGTTTGGATCTGTATTCACCAGGGAATTGGTGAAAGGTTTCTCAAGGCTTCCCAGGGAAGGGAATTAGCTTGAGATGGTGGCAGTGGACCAGAGCTAAGCTGGTAGTTAAGCTTAGAAGTCTTCATGGAGGCCCCCACATTGTACCCTAAAGTTCAAAGTGGGGATACAGCCTTGACAGACACAGAAAGAGGTGACGTAGCAGGCACCTGAGGAGGAGATCTACTCCCACGCTCCTACATCCCCGGCAGGATGGTGTCCATCACACTCGAGGTCGCTAACTGGGGCAGGCACAGCCTTAGAGGCGGAAGAGATGGCTGCCACGGTACTTTTTACCCAAGGGTGATCGGTCCTAGGAGGATCCTGCATCTCTTCAGGGACTGAGCCTGGCCTCCTAGTCTTCTCCAGGAGAAATACCTTCAGTCTAGTCTCCCTGGATTTCACAGCCCATTTGGGGAGGGTTCTGAAGTCCCTGCACTGCTCTCTAGTGAGTGTCTGTGAACCCAGACAATACAGACACTTAGAGTGTCTGTCGTTCCGGGCATGGCAGAGCCACATGAGGGGCATAATTTTAATCCTGCGGACTAAACCCCCCGTATGTGGAGAAGACATCAACTGCTCACCTCAGATCCCTACCCTCCCCCCCGTACCAGGATTCGTAGACTCCAAGGCCAGAAGGGACCATTGTGATCATCCAGTCTGACCTCCTGCATAGCACAGGCCAGAGACCTGCCCCAAAATAATGCCCAGAGCCGACCTGTTAGAAGAACATCCTGTCTTCATTTACACATTGTCAGGGATGGAAAATCCACCACGAACCTCGGTAAAGTGTTTAAAATTTACACCTTATTTCCAGTTTCAATTTGTCTAGCTTCAACTTCCAGCCGTTGGATCGTGTTCGGCCTTTCTCTGCTAGACTGGATATTTGTTCCCCGATATTCACAAATTGTAATCAAGTCACCCTTTAACCTTCTCTTTCTTAAGCTAAATGGACTGAGCTGTTTGAGTCTATCACTATAAAGCATCCTGTCTAATCCTTTCACCAGTCTTGGGGGCTCTTCTCTGAACCCTCTTCAATTTATCAATATCCTTGTTGAATTGTGGGCACCAGAACTGGACACGGTGTTCCAGCATCAGTTGCACCCCTGCCAAATACAGAGTATCCGACTCGAGAGTCCCCTGTTTATACATCCCAGAATTGCATTAGCGCTTTTGGCCACAGAATCGCACTGGGAGCTCATGTTCAGCTGATTATCTACCACGACCCCCAAGTGTTTTCCAGAGTCCCTGCTTCCCAGGCTAGACTCCCCCACCCCGTACGTATGGCCGACATTCTTTGCTCCGAGGAGAGGGAGTCTACGACTGAAATCCTCCCTACAAGAGGAGAGTTCAGCTAAACTAACTAAACCACTATCTCCAGTAACAATTATTAACTATCAAAATGACTATTTACAAAACGTAAAGAGAAAAACTTCAGCGGAGCAGGAGACCGGTCACTGCTGCTGGCTCTGTCTCTCAGCCAGGGGCTGTGAGAAGGAACTGAGGGTTGGCTGGTTGCTCAACCCCCATTGTGCCGTCGGTAAGAGGGGGCTTGAGGACATGGAGAGAGCAGCTAAAGCATTCTGATCTCCAGTGCATGGGGCACATGGGCACCAGAAGTGCAGCACATCCAGCAAGCAGTCAACCTCAATGGAGGTTCCAGTTTGGTACAGACATAGTCCACTCTGTCACACCGGTAATCCCGTTACCTTGCCAGTGTAGGGCATTCCAGCCTTGTAGGTAGCGTCAGCATCCTCAAAGGTCACCGTAGCGATTTCAGACATGATGTTGCAGCTCTTGGTCACGTTGAGCTCCACCCCTAGCAGGAGAGGGAGGCACAATAGGAGGAAGGTGCTGGGAACGACACCGGAATTCAGACTACATCCCAGGTTTCTGTCCATAACAATCTGCACAGCCATTTCTACCCCCTCTCGCTATGGACTGGAGGGTGTCATTTGGGGGAGAATTTGGGAGGTTCGGCTGGGGGCGGAGAAGGATTTTCCTGGGGAATCTGGAAACTAGAAAATTTAGATCCACCTTCCCCTGGTGCTTAATCCCAAACCAGCCACTTGACATTTGCCAGCAGGGTCTCCTGGCTCTGCGGCCCTTTCCCCAGCAGAGAGCTCCTTACTGAACAACCCCAGAGCTGACCCCGCACACAGGCCTCTCGGCACAGGGCCTGCCCCCAGAAAGGGCCTTTTTCAGAAGTGCCCAGTGACCCGTTGCCGTTCTGGACCCACTCTCCTCCAGCCACTTCACCATCGCTGATGCCAGCACCCGAGGTTAACGTTGTAGCCACCCCACAGTTACAGTTTTCAGCCAAATGGGTGTCGGCCGCTCTGGAAATCAGGATTCTTCTGAGTTAAATGTGGAGTTATCTGGGTTCGTTGCTAAGCGATTAGCACTTGCAGTTTCGAACGCTAAGCGCTAACGTCACTGAGGCCGTGACTCAGGGCCCAGCGACACAGGCTGGGCCTTCACTCCGCTCTGCCAGCTCAGTGCACAGCCAGAGGCCACTCGTGGGAGGGTGTTTAGTCTTTGCGTGAACGTGCCCAGGTCTGAACTCCTCATGAGGGATCGATCCCAGTGATGGGCTGAACCAGAACTCCAGATCCAATCTCCCAACGCTACCTCTGGGCCCGTCTCTAAAGCAGCTGGGCTACAAATGACATGACCACATGGGCAAGTGAGCCCCCTCTGCCCCTGGGGGTTTAGTGCTGGGGGCTGCCTGGGGGTGTGCATGTGTGCTTGATTTCAGTCCCACCTGTCTCCTCCTCCACGAGAGACGCCTTGGCCTGGAGGCTCATCCTGTAGCCAGAGTGGGACAGCTTCAAAGGATCCGTCCCCACCTCTCTGGAAAAGCAGCCATTTCTCTTAGTCTGGAGGGACAGAATCACAGCCCTTTAGACTCATAGACTCATAGACTTTTAGGTCAGAAGGGACCATTATGATCATCTGGTCTGACCTCCCGCATGATGCAGGCCACAAAGCCGTCCCTACCTTATCCCTTGCCTCTGCTATTGAAGTCCCCAAATCCTGTGGTTTAGAGACTTCAATTAGCCGAGAATCCTCCAGCTAGCGATCCCTGCCCCGTGCTGCAGAGGAAGGCGAAAAACCTCCAGGGCCTCTGCCAATCTACCATGGAGGAAAATTCCTTCCCGACCCCAAATATGGCGATCAGTAAAACCCCGAGCACGTAGGCAAGATTCTCCAGCCTGACCCTCATTAGCCATGATACTATTTACCAGCAATGGCACGCTGTTCATTTGACTAAAATCACGTTATCCCATTAAACC